ACTTATGGACTGGATTTTCTTATTTGTTCATAAACATTGTAGTACAAAATTTTTTCCTGAAGGAAAATTATGCGGAAGGATGTGATCACGATGACACCCAGAGAGCGCGTTTCGCATGTTCTCGAAGTTTTGCGTGCCACATCGCATCACGGTTTCCCGGTTGTTGATCAGATCGATTGTGCAACAGATGGACAAAATATACCGACATATGGTCATCTCAAGGGACTGATACTGAAATCCCAGTTAATTACACTTATTCAAAAACGGGTTCGTACGCTAAACGCCATTGCTGCTCGATTAAAAATTTTTTGTTACCGATGTATTTTGGGATTTGTGGGGCGGCAACTTGAAAGAATAATCAAATTTTTGGAATAGAGAGGTATACTGAATAACGGAGGACAATAGAAGAGAAAATAATATTAAGAAATTAGTAGAATTAATAGAATTATTTTAATAAAATTATTATAATGATAAGAAATGTTTCGGTCCATTAAGTCGTATACATTTCTTACCGTTACCACAATTGGACCTCGTCAGTAGGGCCACAACTTTGAAAAACCTAAACAAAAATTATAAATTTTTGTTTTGGTTTTCCAAGGTTACTGTTACTGGGGTGCAGCCAAAGCTATGCGCAGTTATGCTAGGTTCTTCTATCTTGCGATATGCATTCTACGAAAAAATACGAAAGGAGTTTTGATTTTTCACTTAAAAAAACTTTGGCAGGCCATTACGCGGCTTTCACGCTTACCTGGGGGATAGGATTCCGCGCATCAACACCTGCTTGGATGGGGAACATCACCCTAATATTTTAGCATTCTAGCTTCTCAAAGTCCCGAGTTATGAACTCACCGAGGAAAATTTGGCCTCTACTACGTTCGCGCGTCGCTCTTTTAAAAGGCTTTTCAATTATTGTTCTTTTTTTTTCATCTTGCAACGCAAATTATGGCTCAGAATGTCATTTTGGCTTGCTCAAAAAAACGGATTTTCCTCGCCCTCCATAAACTTCGCCCTTTTTTTCACTTCCTTTCCCTGGGATCTTTCCAGTTGTTGTGCTTAGACTTGCCATTGACTGCCCAGTTACGCTTGTGGCACTCGTGGTGATTTCTGAAAGAATTTTGCTACTGAAATATTTCGAATAACAGCTATGATTCTTTGCAGGTATTTTATAAAGATTATG